ATACAGATCCAAACCCCCTTGGATCTTAAAACAAGGAGAAATCAATCTGGTTCTTAAAAAAGAAGGCTTTTAATTAAAGAAAAAGGTAAAAATCATCTCTGTAAAATCAGTATGGAAAATACTTTACAGGGTAATCAAACTTAAAGAGCTCAGAGGACCCCCCTCTGTCTTAGGTTCAAAGTACAGCAAACAAAGATACACACTCTGGTAAAAAGGTACATTTACAAGTTGAGAAAACAAAGTAAATCTAAGACGCCTTGCTGTCTTTTTACTTACTAGTTTGAAATAGGAGAGACTTGTTTAGAAAGATGGGGAGAACCTGGATTGATGTCTGGTCCCTCTCAGTCCCAAGAGCGAACCACCCGTTAAAACAAAGAGCACACACAAAAGCCTTTCCCCCCCCAAGATTTGAAAGTATCTTGTCTTCTTATTGGTCCTTGGGTCAGGTGTCAGCCAGGTTACCCGAGCTTCTTAACCCTTTACAGGTAAAAGGATTTGGAGTCTCTGTACACAGAGAGCTGTTACCCTTCCCTTTATAGTTATGACACCACCAGACCAGGGGGATGAGGTGGACGAGGCTTTCTTCAGGCAACTAACAGAAGTTACTAGATCACAGGCCCTGGTTCTCATGGGGGACTTCAATCACCCCGATATCTGCTGGGAGAGCAATACAGCAGTACACAGACAATCCAGGAAGTTTTTGGAAAGTGTAGGGGACAATTTCCTGGTGCAAGTGCTGGAGGAACCAACTAGGAGCAGAGCTCTTCTTGACCTACTGCTCACAAACTGGGAAGAATTAGTAGGGGAAGCAAAAGTGGATGGGAACCTGGGAGGCAGTGACCATGAGATGGTTGAGTTCAGGATCCTGACAAAAGGAAGAAAGGAGAGCAGCAAAATACGGACCCTGGACTTCAGAAAAGCAGACTTTGACTCCCTCAGGGATCTGATGGGCAGGAACCCCTGGGAGAATAACATGAGAGGGAAAGGAGTCCAGGAGAGCTGGCTGTATGTTAAAGAATCCTTATTGAGGTTGCAGGAACAAACCATCCAGATGTGTAGAAAGAATAGTAAATATGGCAGGTGACCAGCTTGGCTTAACAGTGAAATCCTTGCTGATCTTAAACACAAAAAAGAAGCTTACAAGAAGTGGAAGCTTGGACAAATGACCAGGGAGGAGTATAAAAATATTACTCAGGCATGCAGGAATGAAATCAGGAAGGCCAAATCACACTTGGAGTTGCAGCTAGCAAGGGATGTTAAGAGTAACAAGAAGGGTTTCTTCAGGTATGTTAGCAACAAGAAGGTCAAGGAAAGTGTGGGCTCCTTACTGAATGGGCGAGGCAACCTAGTGACAGAGGATGTGGAAAAAGCTAATGTACTCAATGCTTTTTTTGCCTCTATCTTCATGAACAAAGTCAGCTCCCAGACTACTGCACTGGGCAGCACAGAACGGGGAGGAGGTGACCAGCCCTCTGTGGAGAAAGAAGTGGTTCAGGACCATTTAGAAAAGCTGGACAAGCACAAGTCCATGAGGCCAGATGCATTGCATCCGAGGGTGCTAAAGGAGTTGGCGGATTTGATTGCAGAGCCATTGGCCATTATCTTTGAAAACTCATGGCGATTGGGGGAGGTCCCGGATGACTGGAAAAAGGCTAATATAGTGCCCATCTTTAAAAAAGGGAAGAAGGAGGATCTGAGGAACTACAGGACAGTCAGCCTCACCTCAGTCCCTGGAAAAATCATGGAGCAGGTCCTCAAGGAATCAATTTTGAAGCACTTAGAGGAGAGGAAAGTGATCAGGAACAGTCAGCATGGATTCACCAAGGGCAAGTCATGCCTGACTAACCTAATTGCCTTCTATGAGGAGATAACTGGGTCTGTTGATGAGGGGAAAGCAGTGGACGTGTTATTCCTTGACTTTAACAAAGCTTTTGATATGGTCGCCCACAGTATTCTTGTCAGCAAGTTAAAGAAGTATGGGCTGGATGAATGGACTATAAGATAGAAAACTGGCTAGATTGTCGGGTTCAATGGCTCCATGTCTAGTTGGCAGCCAGTATCAAGCAGAGTGCCCGAAGGGTCAGTCCTGGGGCTGATTTTGTTCAATATGTTCATTAATGATCTGGAGGATGGGATGGATTGCACCCTCAGCAAGTTTGCAGATGACACTAAACTGGGAGGAGTGGTAGATACGCTGGAGGGTAGGAATAGGATACAGAGGGACCTAGACAAATTAGAGGATTGGGCCAAAATAAATCTGATGGGGTTCAACAAGGACAAGTGCAGAGTACTGCACTTAGGACGGAAGAATCCCATGCACTGCTACACACTAGGGACCGAGTGGCTAGGCAGCAGTTCTGCAGAGAAGGACCTAGGAGTTACAGAGGACGAGAAGCTGCGTATGAGTCAACTGTGTGCCCTTGTTGCCAAGAAGGCTAACAGCATTTTGGGCTGTATAAATAGGAGCATTGCCAGCAGATTGAGGGACGTGATCATTCCCCTCCATTCGGCATTGGTGAGGCCTCATCTGGAGTACTGTGTCCAGTTTTGGGCCCCACACTACAGGCTTCAGGGCTGTTTCATTGCTGTGTAGACTTCTGGGCTCGGGCTGGAGCCTGGGCTCTAAGACACAGACTGAGGGCTTGAGAGTGGGAAGTACTACCTCTAGAAGGCCTCAAGGGGTTGTGTTTAGTTTTTCCAGTTTACTGGGTAGAGGCTCAACCCGGTTCTATGTTGTATTTTTAAGAGGAACCCCTAAATATTGAACCTAACTCTTGATGCTGCCAACACCATCTGGCAGAAGAGTTACAACCTTATTATATCCTTTAAAATGCTGGTGAGGATTGCCCTGAACTATCAGGCTCCAACATGCTCCTACAGTGAAGGAAAAGGAGCCACATTTTCACATAAGAGGTGAGATCTGAACATTGACAAAATATGAACTTTAATTACCTTCTTCTATAGGTACCACAAATCTTCTCCACCCTAAAATCAACCACGTAAGCAAAGATGAGAAGTGATCTGAACACATGATCTATGTACAGGATTCAACATTATACAAATTGACACACACAGGAAATCGGGAGCTACAAATTCTACTAGAAATGTACAATAAAAGAGAAAAAATCAGAACTGCACAGAACTACACAACATGAGCATTACTGTCTGATTGCTTTATATTATAAAAATTGCCATTGCCTGGAGAATTATTCCTGCAAAGTTATAATCAGACTTTACCAGCAAACACACTACATTTATACTGCAAACACCAAACATGTAAAAAAAACCCTATATTTAAGGCCTACTCCTACTATTGAAATCAATGACATATCTTCCATTGACTTCAGTGGGAATGGGGGTTATTCTAAAAAATGTACAAGAATAGGGGGAAAGAAGGTTTCTTATGTTAACAATTGAGCATTTTCTATTTTTTTAATTAATAATCATATAACTATATCCTTCACAAATCTTCATATCTTTACCAAAAGATGATATTCATCCTGTTACTCCATTTTATTTCATTACATTTTCAGAATTAAAGTTAAGGCTGAGCCATCATTTCCATTCAAAGTCCCTGTATTTTTTTATTCCTCAGAACGTTATTTCAAATTACCTTTTGGTGTTAGAATTCTCATACTTAGCCCAAGACCTCTATTATTTTTTAAAGTTATATTATAAACATGACAAAACAGAACAAACCCCCTACATGAACAAAGCACCTTTATAAGGATACACCTTTGTACAAAAGGTTTTACATGTAGGTAGAGGGAAAATGACACTTACGAAGTTCCACTGCTTGTTTCTCTAAAAATGAAACAAAAATGGACCAATTATTAATAGAGGAGCTTCTCTTTCCAGGGATATACATTCAAGGATACACATTTGTACAAAAGTTTTACATATAGGTAGAGGGAGAATGACACTTACGAAGTTCCACTGCTTGTTTCTCTAAAAAAGAAACAAAAATGGATCAATGATTAGTTGAGGAGCTTCTCTTTCCAGGGATATACATTCAGGGTGGGATTTCCAAAATTACTGAAGTGACTAAGGGGCAGAAGTCCCAATGACCCCGACATCACTTAGGCATCTTTGGAAATCCTACTGGTAAAGGATTATACACATGACGGCTGAAATTCACCTATGCTGTGCAGGCCTAATGCAAAGCCCTCTGTACCACTCAGTGCCTACATAGGCTGTGTGCTATGGGTCAAGCTTCAGAGCCACTGCACACACTCCAGCATGTCACATGTCTCTAAGTTTCCCCTGAATGTTTTAGAATTACTAAGGGTAGGTCCACACTACCCGCCCGATTCGGCGGGTAGAGATCGATCTGGGATCGATTTATCGCGTCTCATCTGGACGTGATAAATCGATCCCAGAAGCGCTCCCCCGTCGACTGCGGAACTCCTGCTTGCCGAGAGGAGGAAGCGCTGTCGACGGGGGAGCTTGCCTGCGCCATGTGGACCCGCAGTAAGTAAACTTAGTTCGATCTAGGAAACGTCAACTTCAGCTACGCTATTCTCGTAGCTGAAGTTGCGTTTCCTAGATCGATTCCCCGCCCCAGTGTGGACCAGCCCTAAGACTTTATGCTTTCCCCTTCTCTTGTCTATAACATTGGTCTGTGTCAGTACTAATATTCAGTGCCAAAAACTCTTTAACACAAAGTTAAGGCTGGTGGTGTCTTGCATAGGCGCCGACTCCGTGGGTGCTCTGGGGCTGGAGCACCCACGGGGAAAAATTGGTGGGTGCTCTGCACCCACAGGCAGCTCCCCACCCCAGCTCACCTCCGCCTCCTCCCCTGAGCACACTGCAGCTCCGCTTCTCCCTCTAGCTCCCAGTGCTTCCCACCGCAAAACAGCTGTTTCGCTGCAGCAAGCGCTGGGAGGGAGGGGGAGGAGGGGAAACGCAGCACGCTCGGGGAAGAGGTGGGGCTGGGGCGGGGATTTGGGGAAGGGGTCCAATAGGGGCAGGGAGGGGGCGGAGTTGGTGCGGGGACTTTGGGGAAGGGGTTGGAATGGGGGCGGGGCAGGGGTGGAGTTGGGTCAGGGCTGGGGGTAGTGGCGGGGTCGAGCACCTACCAGCGCCAGGAAAAGTTGGCGCCTATGGTGTCTTGTGTCCTTCCAGAACATTGAGTTCAGCAAAACTGAAGCTTTGAAAAAGCAGGGAATACAGAGTAAAGATACAAGCCCACACAACCTGAACTCTGCTCCTTTTAAGTGATACTTCAGTACACCCACAATACCCAGACTCACACTCTGCCTGCTCCCTGTACCGAACAGGAGCTACTCACACCAGCCCTACATTCAAACACCTCACTGACTCCACAGAAAGAACACCACATCTGCTAAATTTTTTAGCTCCTTCAACCTCTTTAACAATCTGTTCACCCCTATGCACACAATGCCAACTGACATATTTTCATTTCCCTTCATTAAATTCACAGACCACACATCTCCCACCTAACAGCTGACAATCCTCATGGCAAGAAGACCCCTGTGCCCTCCTGCTGACATACCCACACCAGACAGCACTAACATGAGGCATACTGGATCTCTTCCAAGTACACACACACCTCTTTCCTTTGATCACACACATAGGAACACAAGAATGACCTTCCTGGTTAGACCAATGGTCCAGCTAGCCCAGTTTTCTGTCTTCTGACAGTGGCTGGTGCCAGATGCTTCAGAGGGAATGAACAGAACAGGGCAATTTATCAAGTGATCCATCCCGTCGTCCACTTCCAGCTTCTGACAGTCAGAGACTTAGGGACATCCAGAACATGGGGTTGCATCCCTCACCATCTTGGCTAATGGCCATTGATGGACCTATCCTCCATGGATTTATCTAATTCTTTTTTCAACCCAGTTTTCCTTCAGGTTTCACAGGTTGACTGGGCATTGTGTGAAGAAGTACTTCCTTTTGCTTGTTGTAAACCTGCTGCCTATTAATTTCATTGGGTGACCTCTGGTTCTTATGTTATGTGAAAGGGTAAATAACGCTTCCTTATTCACTTTCTCCACACCAGTCATGATTTTATAGATCTCTATCATATCCTCCCTTAGTCTCTTTTCCAAGCTGAACAGTCCCAATACTTTTACTTTCTCCTTCTATGGAAGTTGTTCCAGACCCGTAATTATTTTTGTTTGTCCTTCTCTGTACCCTTTCCAATTCTAATATATCTATTTTTGAGATGGGGCAACCAGAACTGCCCGTCCTATTCAAGGTGTACCATGGATTTATATAGTGGCTTTATGATGTTTTTTGTTTTATTATCTATCCCTTTCCTAATGCTTCCTAACATTCGGTTAGCTTTTTTTTTTTTTACCTGCCATTGAACATTGAGCAGATGTATTCAGACAACTATCCACAATGACTCCAAGATTTCTTTCTTGAGTGATAACAGCTAATTTAGATCCCATCATTTTGTATGTATAGTTGGGATTATGTTTTCCAATGTGCATTATTTTGCAGTTATCAACATTGAACTGCATCTGCCACTTTGTCACCCAGTCACCAACTTTGTGAGATCCCTTTGCAACTCTCTGCAGTCTGCTTTGGACTTTACTATCTTGAGTAATTTTGTATCATCTGCAAACTTTTCCACCTCACTATTTATCCCTTTTTCCAGATCATCTATGAATATGTTGAACAGTATTGGTCCCAGTACAGATTACTGGGGGATCCTGCTATTTACCTCTCTCCACTTTGAAAACTGATAATTTATTCCTACCCTTTGTTTCCTATCTTTTAACCAGTTACTGATCCATGAAAAGACCTTCTCTCTTTTCCCATGACTGCTTACTTTGTTTAAGAGCCTTTGGTGAGGAACCTTGTTAACAGCTTTCTGAAAGTCCAAGTACACTATATCCACTGGATCACCCTTCTCTACATGTTCGTTGACAACCTCAAAGAATTCTAATAGATTGGTGAGGTATGATTTCCCTTTACAGAAGTCACGTTGACACTTCCCCAACATATCATGTTCTTCTATGTGTCTGATAATTCTGTTCTTTACTATAGTTTCAACCAAATTGCCTGGTTCTGAAGTTAGACTCACAGGCCCGTGATTGCCTTTGGAGCTTCTTAAAAAAATATAATAAAATAATAATAAAAAAATCGGCATTACATTAGCTATCTGGTACAGAGACTGATTTAAGTGATAAGTTATATCCCACAGTTAACAGATCTGCAATTTCATATTTAAGAACATAAGAACTCCATACTGGGTCAGACCAAAGATCCATCTAGCCGAGTATCCTGTCTTCTGATGATGGCCATGGCCAAGTGCCCCAGAGGGAATGAACAGAACAGGTAATCATTAAGTGATCCATTAGGCAACCTTAACTGCTTTAAGAAAGGTTTTTGTCAGTGAGTTTAACCCCCTTTCCATAACCCCTTCTCCCCTCAGTGCAGCTCCAAACCTCTTTCCCCTTATTACCCACTACTCCTCTGCTCCCTAATTCCTACTCCTCCCCAGCAACTATTTGCATGTGGAATTTATTTTCTTTTCAAAAATATCTGAGCAACCTCTGAGGATTCTGATGCACTCAGATTACATTTTCCCAAAATAAAACACCCTATTATAGTAAGGTGTCTTCTGATTTCTGCCAATGGTTGGATTTAAACTCACAGGGCCTGGCTGGTACTCAACTTCTAGAGCCAAAGCAGCTTATGCTAAGCCACACCATCGTTGTGAGTCATAGCTTGCTTTCAGCACTCTTGGGCTGTCTCTCTGCAAGGTGCTCAGTATAATTCATTTGGCTCCTGAGCATTAGGCTATATAGAGAGCTAATCCCTTTTCAACTTTGCTCCCCCAAAGTGAGCTAGGCAGGCCTCTCACTCATTCTCACAAGAAATGGCTTTGGTGCCTAAGCCGCCTGACTCCAGGAGAGGGGTTCCTGCCTGTGGTCAGCGAGCAGAGCTAGGCACCTCCCTGCAGCCTGGATTTAAGCACCAAACTCTGGGAGAAGGGCGGGGCTTAGGACACAATCCTCTCATTGGCATCTCCCATTGGCTGGCCTAGGTGGCTCCCCACCTAGCATGCTGGCTTTTGTGGATCCCATTCTAAGGTGCCTATCTCCCTGCATGCATTGTAGAGGGACCAGAGGCACCTTACTCAGGCTTTGTGGATCACAGTGCTGTTCCAGTGATCTTCTAGGCACCTAAAAGTTTGGTGATGTGATGCTCAATGTTGGAACACCCAACACTGGGTCCCTTTGTGGGTCTGGGCTTGTGTAAATTAGTCCAGCTCCACTGATTTCAAGAGAGTTATTTTGATTTCTACCAGCAGATCATCTGACCTAAGAGGTAATTTCTATACAAAGCCCCCTTTTTTGGTTGTTGTTGTTATCTTTTGATGTGAAATTTCTCACATTTAGGCTTACCCTGCTTTAAAAAATGTTAAATTGAATAGTAAATCTTCCAAAAGAACAGGAAAACACCACCACCACCACCACCCTGCTACGAGGATACAATTGTGTACAGAATTTGACTTATGCAAAGAGAAAGACTGAGACTTGCCAAATGGCTGCGATATCTTTTCCTCATTGATTATTTACTTACCCCATTGGATATTCCACAGGGAGCACCAATGTAGCATGAGAGTGCATTTCACTTTATTAGCAAAAAATTATTTTAAGTATAGATATCAGGCATCTGGTGTCTCTGCCTTGTCGTGGCGGGACAGCTTGTGTGCTCTAACAATCCCCAGAGTTTGTGCCGATGGGGGCTTTTTACTCCTGGCAGGTTCAACTATGCCAGATTGGTCTGTGGGGGAGGGACCAGACAAAAACAGACACCCTGGTCCTCCAGATTGGGGGTTAGGCACAGGGCTAACAATCCTGTCCCGTAAAAAACAAAATATGTTATGGAAACAGTGGCGGAGAAATCAACCATTACCGTGTGTGATGGCCTTCAGGAGTCAATGACCCGTATGACTGCCAGTGGCGAAAGCTGAAAGGAAGTCAGTAGCAAGAAGACTGAAATGCTCAACACCAAGACAAAAATAAACTTGGTTTTTGGAATGTACGGACAATATATGAAATGGGGAAGCTAGCTCAGGTCACAGCAGAGATGAGACGCTACAGCTTACACATCCTGAGTGTCAGTGAGAGCAGATAGATGGGATCAGGAAGAGTAACAACAGCCTCAGGAGAAACTTTGCTGTATTCTGGATGGGATGATGGACAACACCATGAGGGTGTTGTTATCCTTTTGAAGAAGGGAGTGGAGTGGAAGTCCATCAGCAGCAGACTTATGAGAGCCAGACTGAAAGGGAAACATAATAATATCACCCTGATTCAGTGCTATGCTCTGACAAATGACAGTGATGAAGAAGCAAAGGACAAATTCTACATTACACCTGTCGTCATTGGACACCTGAATGCCAAGGGCGGTAAGGACAACACAAACAAGGACAGAGCAATGGGAAGACATGGGTGTGGAGCCATGAATGAAAATGGAGAGAGGCTTTTAGATTTCTGCAATATGAATGACTTAGTCATCGGCAGAACCCTATTTCAGTATTGTGAAATTCACAAGCTGACATGGTGCTCTCCAAATGGTAGCAATAAGAACCAGATTGACCATATGATGAATGATCAATGGCAAATGGCGATGTTCAGTGACAGAAGTGAAAGTGACAAGGGGAGCAGACGTTGGCAGTGACCACCACCTTGTAACAGCCCCCATCAAGCTAATACTGAGACTTGTGGGTCCACCAAACAACATAGACATAGATGTTATGACGTTGACAAGCTAAAGTCCCCTGAAATACAGAAAGACTTCGTTCTGTAATTAAAGAACTGGTTTCAGGCACTTGCAGACCTTAATGAAGAGGAGTGGAATGCAGATGAGGAGATCAACAAGAACTGGGACAAAGCAACAACAATCTATAAACAGAGCAGTGACGCCTGTTTAGGCTACAGGCAGAAGAAAAGAAAGGAGTGAATTACACCCAACACATAGAATGCCATAGAAACTAGATGAGCCCTGAAGAATAAAGTTTTAGATACAAAATCTCAGAAGCTAAAGGACAAACACTATGAGCAATATAGCAAGGCACAATGGGAGGTCAAACGCCTTGTGAGAGTGGACAAACAACACTATATTGATAATCTGGCAATACAAGCGAAGATGCAGCTGCCTGTTGTGAACAAGGAACCATCTAAAAAATGATGCAGCTTATCAGTGGCAAACGGCAGACACCAACATACACACTCATTAGGGACAAACAAGGTCACCTACAAGAGCAAGCTGGTTTTCAGAAAGGGCGTTGATGCATAGAACAGATACCCACTCTACGAAACATAATAGAACAATGCTCAGAATGGCAACGGCAACTCTACATAAACTTCAGAGACTTTGAGAAGGTCTTTGACAGTATTCACAGGACCAGCCTATGGCGCATTCTAGGAGCATATGGAATTCTTCTCCGTATAATCAACATCGTTAAAAGCTTCTATTCCAACTTTACATGCAGTGTTGATCACAGTGAGCTCAGTTTTGAAGTCAAAACAGGAGTAAGTGAGGAGTGTCATGTCTGCAATCCTCTTCAACATTGCCATTGACTGGATAATGCAGCGTAAAACAGAAGACATGCCAAGAGGCATCAGATAGACACCCTTTTCATCCCTTGAAGACCTGGACTTCGCAGATGATCTCTCTCTCCTATCACATAGTCAAAACCATATACAAGAAAAAACAACCCAACTCAACACATTCAGCCAGCAAATCAACCACAATAAGACAGATATCCAGACCATTAATATTGCCTCACCATCACCAGTATGGATAGAAGATCATGTTCTCATCAATGTAGAAACATTCACATACTTGGGCAGCACCATCAGCTAGGATGTGGAACAAGCAAGGATATCCAGAATAGAATCAATAAAGCCAAGAACACCTTCAGGAGCTTGAATACAGTCTGGAAATCATCAAAATACAACACCAAAACCAAACTCAGAATTTATCAGAGCTGCATACTTCCAACACTACCTTATAGTGCAGAATGCTGGGGAATGACAAAGCATGATGTGTCCAAACTGTCTTCATTCCATACAACCTGCCTCAGAAAAATTCTCCGTATCTTTTGGCCCAGAACAATCTCAAGCCAATACCTATTCACACAGTGCAGCCAAGAAGATATGAGCGCCATCATTACCAGGAGGCATTGGAGATAGACTGGCCGTGTGCTTCGGATGGAAACTGATTCCATCACCAGAATAGCAATTAGATGGACACCCGAAGGCAAGAGAAAATAAGGTCACCTGGAAACAACATGGCGAAGAGCTGTGGAAGCTGAGCTGAAAAACATGGGGCACAGCTGGGGAACCATGGAAAGACTTGCCAGAAACAGACAGGAGTGGAAGAGCTTCGTCACTGCCCTAAACGCCAGGGGAGAGGCAGAGGCAGATTAGAGTTTTGTGGGGCCCTGGGCCAGAGTAAGTGGGGCCCCTCCCCACCCCTTCCTCCTGCAGTCTCCCCACTTCCCCCAGAGCTCCTGCTGGGGAAATGGGGTCGGGGCATGAGGGCTTGCCCCGCCCCACCCCCCCCCCCCTCACTTCCGCCAGTGAGCAGGGTTGCGGTGCGGGGGCTTGCCCCGCTCCACCCGCCCGACGCTCCTGCCAGGAAGCAGGGTCAGGGCATGAGGGGTTCCCCTGCTCCCTGGCAGGAGTGCCGGGTGGGTGGAGCGGGGGAAGCCCCCGCACTCCAACCGCACTCCCCGGCAGGAGGGCCAGGCGAGTGGGCAGAGCAGGTCAGGGTGCGGGGGCGCCCATTTTTCTGGGGCCCCCGAATTGGTCAGGGCCCCTGGGCACGGCCCTGTTGGCCCAGTGGCTAATCTGCCACTTACAATAGATACTAACTAATAGATATCAGGGCCAGCCCTAGGCTTTGCAGAGTCTTGTGGGAAATGAGACAGACATAAGTGACCCCAAAGAACTGGGAGACAGAAGACTGAGCAGGATGCAGATATAACTGCTTTGATCTGGGTTTCTGATTCAGCCTCGTTGCCTAATTTTCTCCTCCTTCCAATTCCATACCTCTCTCTCTCTCTCCATAAATGGAAATATCATGGGGTATGTCTACACTACGGGATTAATCCGAATTTAGATAATTCGAATTTGGGAAACAGGTTGTATAAATTCGATTGTGCGCGGCCACACTAAGCACATTAATTCGGTTTTTAACCACATTAATTCGGTGGTGTGCGCCCACACTACCCCATTTATTTTAATCACATTAATTCGGTTGTGTGCGGCCACACTAACCCTAATTCGAATTAACAAAATCGATTTTGGCGCTACTCCGCTCGTCGAGGTGGAGTACAGAAATCGATTTAAAGCGCCCTTTAATTCGAACTAAATGGCTCTGTTGTGTGGACGGGTGAAGGGTTAATTCGAATTAACGCTGCTAAATCCGAATTAATCCCGTAGTGTAGACCAGGCCATGGTCTTCTGCATTTAGGACAAGATTGTATCTTGCACAACACCCCGACACAAGAGAGTAAGGGGGAAATGAAACCTCCTTAGTTTCATGCATGGGCTCCCTGGATCCTTGCTGTGTGCATTGGATTGAGGGAGGCTCAGCTGGCACAATATGCACCACTGCAAAGGTGGGTGGGGAATGGACAAAGAGCAGCGGACAGTGGACTGAGCTTTCACTCCATCCTACAATGCTGCAGGCAGGTACTGGTGGAGACGTCCTCTGTGCTGGATCCAGAGGCTGGTGCAGGTTACCACCCCCCTGGACAAAAGGGGAATCTTAGTAGCATTTTCTTCCCTGTGCTGCTGGGAGGTGGTGCAGTTACACGCTTCCCATCATGTCTGGCCAGTATCAAATCGTTTACTGTATTCATTTTTTTTTTAAAAAGAAAATGTCTTGCTAATTGCACTATATTTCCTGCTTCTAAATTTACCTTTGATTTTGAAGAGATAAGCACTAAGGCCAAAGGAACCAAACAAAACCACCAGGATCACACACATCGCCACCATCCAGGGATTCACCTTTGGAAAAAAAGGATCTGAAAAACAAAATCCCAGAACGACTCATTACTTTGTAAGCAGGGACAAAAACCAAATGACTCCATTTCATATGATGACAACTCCAGTGGGACTAGTCTAAAACAAGGGAGGAAGTATGGCCCCATCGGCACTGCATAAAACACTAGAAACAGCTATTAAAAGTGACTCCAACCAAGACAGACATCAAATTTGTACATTGGTGTATAAGTGAGCCTGGTTTGATTTGCTGCTTCTTGTACAATGAGAGGCAACACTCTCCAGTCCTTCGGGTAGTGGGATGGGATTTGTGAGACCTGAGTTCTGGTCCCAGATTTGCTGGTGACCTGCTGTGTGACCTTGGACAAGTCCTTTCCCCTCTCTGTGGCTCCATTTCTTCTCCAGTCTTTTTGGGGTCTTGATTATTTAGATGCCTGTTCTATGTAGCAGGAACCAACTGTCACTATGTGTTTTTTGAGTGCAGTGCTCAGCAAAGCAGGGCTACTATCTCACATGAGAAATCTAATGTAATACTGCCACTAGCAATAGTAATGACCATGGATCAGAATGTTGAAGGGTTAAAGTCGTTGATCAGAGTGGTGTTCTACCAGGGGAGAACAAGGCTTTCAATGTTAAAGAACACTCAGAAATTGCCAGGTTGTCTGAAAAAATTGCCTGTCAATCCACTATTTCCCCCAAATCTTTCAATGAATCATAATCACAATTCATCCAAACTACTGTGCAGGAAGCTATTCATTATTTGTGATCCTCTTGTTTAAACCTCACGTCTAAATCTCACCACTTCTTCCCATACAATATCTCCAAGGTCTGACCTTTTCTCTCTGCCCACGCTGCCAAATTCTGGTCTAAGCCTTGATCACCCCACATCTTCACTACTGTAATCTCTTCTTCCCCGGCCTCAGTGCTCCCCCTTCCAATCAAATCAATGCAAAATACTACTGTTAAGATCTCATCACACAGACTATATTATCAGCCTGTTTAAATCCCTCCATTGGCTCTCCTCTTCCAATGCATCAAATTCAAACTTCCTGTTCTCACTTACAAAGCTCTCCAGTTTAGCCCACCCCACCTACCCAACCCAGTATAGCATCACAAGGTCAATTTCCAGTTTCACTTCCAGTGATGCCAACCTCAAGCCCCCAGTTCTCTACTTCTTCAGCAAGGTATTCTGTGCTTTCACACATGCCACTCCTTATGAGTGGGGAAAGCTCCAGTCAAAATTCATAAAGCCTCGTCTTCCTTCCAGTCTCTCCTCAAAACTCATCTCTGCAATGATGCAACCTGATAATAGCTAGGCAGGTGGTGAGCTGTGATCATTACAATTTGCAGTCAAAGATTTAAGAAATGATAGATGGTGGTGAAATCTTGGTCCCACTGAACTCTAAGAGTTTTGCCATTGACTTTAATGGGACAAAGATTTCCATCGGGGTTGAGCCTCGCAAATGAGTTAAGTGTTGTCCCCCATCCCCAAATGGTCAATAGGGTATCATAGATTTATGTAAGAGTGGGGAGAATGTTTGGCTATTTGTCTACTGTGCCTTCTGATTACTGTTCATTCAAATACAGTTAAAGGTTTAGGATGATATAAACAAAATCTCCTAAAGTCAAAGAAAGTAAGTGGGACATAACACATTCTTCAGACAGGTCAATATTTCTCTACCAGAAATGACATAAGGGAAAAATAACTAGATTCTTCTACTGCCTATATAGTATAGGTGGGAATTTCAGAAGTGCACAATGTCCAGTCTACAATACAAAAACATGTTGCCAGCATAGCTATGTCAGTTGGGGATGTGATTTTTTTTATCAACATAGTTATACTGACAAAAGCCCTAGTGCAGTCACAGTTATGCTGGAAAAACTGCACTAAGGCTGTATCTACACTGCCACTTTCAGCGCTAAAGCTTTTGTCATTCGGGGTGTGAAAAAACACACCCCTGAGCGACAAAAGTTTTAGCACTGAAAAGCGCCAGTATAGACAGCGCTTTATCCCGGGAGCCGCGCTCCCAGCGATAAAGCTACCACCGCTCGTTTGGGGTGGGTTTTTTTTTTTTTTAATAAAGCATGTCTACACTGCCCATGTCGCAGCGCTGCTGCAGTCACACTGTAACATGGGTAGTGCAGACATACCCTTACACACGAGTATTGTTTATGTCAGTTATAAGTCATAAGAGGAGGTTACTCACCCTATGCAGTAACTGACGTTCTTCGAGATGAGTGTCCCTGTGGGTGCTCCACATCAGGCCACGATGCATCCCAGCACCTTTGATCGGAGATTTCTACAGCAGTACCCCTATGGGCTGTGCACGCGCTGTGCCTGCCTCATGAGCTGTCAGTGTTTGAATAACGCATGCATGGCCCGGGCTCCTCAATTCCTTCTCTACAACGGAGTATGTTCCAGATTCCAAAGTAGAGGGGAGGAGGGCGGGTAGTGGAGCACCCACAGGGACATTCATCTTGAAGAAAGTCAGTTACTGCACAGGATGAGTAACCTCCTCCTCTTCTTCTTCTTCGAGAGATGTCCCTGTGGGTGCTCCACTTCAGGTGACTGAAAAGCAGTATCCCTTAGGATGGTTGGGACTTCGAATCAGGTAAGAAGGCTGTTGACCAGACAGCTCCACCCATCCTGGTGTCGGATGCTGCTGTGTGCATGAGAGCGTAATGATTGGCGAAGGTAAGGTTTGATGCCCAGGTAGCTGCCCTGCATATGTCAGAAAGCAGGACATTACGGAGAAAGGCAGTGGAAGTGGAGACAGCTCTAGTAGAGTGTGTCCTAATTGATGTAGGAGGTTGTATGTTCTTCAGTTGGTATCAGAGACATATGCAGTCTGCAATCCATTTGGAGAGTCTCTGGGTAGAGATAGCTTTTCCCTGTGATCGCTGAGTGGTAGAGATGAAAAGTTTGGGGGTTTTCCTAAACGGTTTTGTTCTATCCAGGTAAAAGGATAGTGTTCTGCGCACATCAAGAGTGTGCATTGCTGTTTCAAAAGCATTAGCGTGGGGTTTTGGGAAAAATGTTGGTAGGTGTATTGGCTCATTGAGGTGAAAGGAAGAGTATCTTAGGCAGGAACTTCGGATGTGTGTGGAGTGTGACCTTATCACGGAAGAATGTGGTATATGGAGGTTCTGCCATGAGTGCTCCCATTTCTCCTACTTGTCTGGCAGACATGATTGCTATCAGCAAGGCAGTCTTCATGGATAGGTGGAGAAGGGAGCAGGTAGCCATTGGCTCAAAGGGGTTATCCATCAGGGCTTTGAGGACTAGGTGGAGGTCCCAGGGCGCAGCAGGCGGTTTTACGTCTGGATATAATGTTTGGATGCCCTTCAGGAACCTTTTGGTTACTGGATGGGCAAAGACCATAGTGTTGTCAATCTTATGGTGAAATGTGGTGATTGCCGCGAGGTGGACCTTGAGGGAACTCGCGGAGAGACCTGATGTTTTAAGGTAATCCAGTATCAGTGGGAGTGGAGCGGAAACTGGGGAGGTCTGTTTGGTCATACACCAAGATGTGAACTTCTTCCATTTATATAGGTAAGTAGTGCACGTGGTGTGTGTCCTGCTGTGTAGTAGGACTGTCCGCACTTGTTCAGAACATGCTAACGCCTCATTAGAGAACCATTGATTAGCCAGGCCCTCAGGTGGAGTCGTTATACGTCAGGGTGAAATAGCTGGCCCCTGCATTGTGATAGGAGGTTGCTGAGGAGGGGGAAGGGGAATCGGTGGCTTGACCGACATCCACATGAGGAAGGGATACCATGGTTGTCTGGGCCACGATGGGGCTATTAGAATGATGTTGGATCTGTCCTTTCTTATCTTCTGTATTATTCTGTTCAACAGAGGTTTTGGTGGAAACACATACATGAGAGTGTCGGTCCATGGAAGCATGAAGGTGTCTCCTCGAGAGTGTTTCCCCAGGCCGGCTCTGGAGCAGAATGTCAGGCGTTTTTTTGTTTATTGACGTGACAAACAGATCTAGTTGGGGATAACCCCAGGTCTGGAAAATGGTGGATAGAATGGCATTGTTGAGTTCCCACTCGTGCTGTATGGGGACGGATCGACTGAGCTCATCTGCGGTGGTGTTCTGAGAACTGGGCAAGTATGAGGCGGAGATATGGATATTGTGTTGAAGGCACCAATTCCATAGTTTTACCGCCTCTGTGCAGAAGGAGTGGGACCGGGCTCCCCCGTCTGTTCACATAGAACATGCATGCGATGTTGTGTGTCATGATCCGAATTCTGCGGTTCTGGATAATGGGAAGGAAATGGAGGCAGACATTGCGTACGGCTTGGAGCTCTAGTAGATTTATATGAAGTTTGGTTTCCATAGAGGACCAGAGGCCCTGAGTGGTGAGGTGACCCATGTGTGCTCCCCATCCTGTGAGGGATGCATCTATAGTGATGGTCAGTGAAGGGAGCTCTTGTCAGAAGGGAATCCTGGCACAGATGTTGATAGGAGAGGTCCACCAGAGGAGCGAGTCCTTGACTTTCGGAGGCATAGTTAGCAATTTGTTTAATCTGTGAATATTTGGTTTGTATACCATGGCTAGCCACCCCTGAAGGCATCGCATGTACAGGCAGGCATTTGGGACCACGAATGTGGAAGCGGCCATGTGCCCTAACAGCTGCAGGGAATCTCAGACTGTAACCCACAGGGTGGCATGTATCTAGGTAATTAGGGTACCCATTGTGTGGAATCTGTCCTGGGGAAGAGAGGCAAGACCCGTGGTGGAGTCGAGGTGTGCCCCGATGAAGTTGGTTTGTTGGGTAGGTCGTAAGGTAGATTTGCTTCTGTTTATTTGCAGACCCAGGGTGTGGAAGCAGTGCACAGTTGCAGAAGTTGCTCGGATCGCCTCCAAGTGAGTGGGGGACTTGAGGAGACAATCGTCCAGGTAAGGAAAAATGAGGAGCCCTTTCTTTCTGAGATGTGCTATTACGACTGCTTGCACTTTTGAGAAGACACATGGGGCAGTGGAAAGGCCAAAGGGCAGGATCTTGTATTGG